AGTAGTAGTAACGGAGTAATCAGAGCCCCTCTAATCCACCTCCATTCACGATTCAATAGGCACCAGTGTGTGTCCGCATGGCACACCGCACGCACATCCAGCACGCCGCGGGCCGCGCCGCGGAACCTGCTCATAATTCGCGCAGCAAAACTTGTGCGGTCGATTGCTTTCTGGCTCGCAAAACTAGACGCGCAGCCGCAGAGCGGCTGCTCGCTGCCTAACAACCTCGACGCGCACAGGCTCTCCATGTCAGTGAAGCGTGTGCAGAGAGAGAGAGAGAGAGAGAGAGAGAGAGAGAGAGAGAGAGAGAGAGAGAGAGAGAGAGACCGGAATTAAAATGCGTGCCGCAGAACAAAATGTCACCTGGCTGCGCTGTTCAGAGTTTTCCTCTCATGCTTCATAAACGTGACGTACCCTGTTGTAATCGGTTCTAACTTTTCATAAAAAGTCAGGCAGTCGCCGCTCTCCGATAGGACAAAATCTCGGACAAAATGCACCAGTGTTTTGTTTATACCGGGTTCATCAGAGCAAACACCCGTTGTTGCCCGTGTTGCGGATTTGTGTTTATACGTCTTACGTGGAAGGGAATGTTATACGCCATCGCTGTAAGTCGATGAGTTGAACCAACAACAAAACAACCGCGTATGTCATCATATGCATATATACGTGTTAATTGTACACACACCAAATCACGGTAAGGAGAAGGGGGGGCGGTCGGGCCTGTCATTCACACTTGTCATGCTCAGGGTAGAACCGTTCGGCCGTTTGCAATCAGCGACCTGAGTGGCGTCCCGCAACCCTCAACCCTTTGTCTCAATTACGGTGAGTGGAGGGGGTAGGGAAGGACGGAGAGGGAAAGAGAGGGGAGGGCGATCGTTTTGTCTGCGTGGCAGCCGCATGGCGCCGCTGCCACACGGTGGGCTGGGCCTCACGCGGCCCAGAGCGCGGGCGGCCTTTGTGCAATCAGAATGTGACGGCCAGAACCCGGCGGGCAGCCCTGCCAGGCCCGCTGGGAGCGCGCGGCAGGGACAAAACTGGGGAAGTGGCACAGAGGACAGTGCTTGGCGGTGCTGTCAACCTCAACGCGGCAGGCACAGGGCACGCGGCAGATGCGCTCGCCGACCTTATCGTTTTTCTAAGAATTTTGTTTTTAAAAACCTTACCGAGCTCATAGTGCTTTTCACCAAAATTACACATAACGCTCGAAAATATATCCATGCATAAAATTTCATAATGAGCAATAGTGTAATTACTACATTCATTTAATGTTGAACATTTTTATTATTTTAGACCTTCGCCAATCCGCTGTTTCTAGACCGAGCCTGGATTAAAATTACGATGTTAGCGAGGCCTCGCTCGCCACAAAAAGCAATAAAACACAAAACTTCGCAACAAAAGAGCGCCTGGGCAGAGAAATGTGTCACAAAGGACAGAGCACAGTTTTTTTAATAAATAATTTCCAACAGTGCAGAAGTGACCTCGCAGGCGTGTGTTTGTGTGCAAGGGAGAGAATGAGAGGAAAAACTGACAGAGAAAGAAATAGGGGACAGACGGGCGAAGGGTTCCCTCCCCCTTTCCACACAGCAGACCGAAAAGAAAGAGTGGCCCAAAGCTTTATCTCCTTCGGATTGTTTCGCTTCCTCTTCAGTATCGCTTTCTGATCTGCACATCCCTCCATCCCTGTGCACACATCACTGCACTGAGGCTTCTTTCTACGCCGTCCCAATACCTCCGAATTTCATTTTTGTTTGTTCCGTTCCATCATCGGCTAAATCCCGGCATTCCACTTTGCTCTTGTGAAGTTTTTATAGATCCTCACGTTTAGTAATGTAACGCGCGCCTCTCCATCTTACTTCAGTAAGCTCATTCTCTCCCTTTCTCCCCACTATAAATCAAATGTGATGACATGATTAGGGTGTTACAAACCGAAACTTTGAGCTAGAGTTGCGTTGGGTTCCCGACCTCGGATTCGGACCGAGCGAGACTTGTTTTCAAGGTTTCCATATTATCTAAGGTAACCTTGAAAACAAACTTTCGGGGATGATGTCTGTGATACAAATAATATCGCACAATTTTACCATATTGCACAAGAGGTGCACAAATGAACTCACACGCATTTCCATCGATCGCTCATTTCTGCAAAAGTCTGAGTTTTGACCTTTTTTTTTTGCAACGAGCACTGAGCACTGCACCTTTTGCGCTAAAAATACGAAATTATCTCATATTACTTATTTACGTGGACTTTCGTCACGCACCCACCCACTCACTTATTGCCCTCCCCACCCCCGCCCCAGCGCCTCTCATCTCTCTCCCCCCTCGCCGTCCGCCCCACGGGTCCGGTCCAGTCCCATGCTTGAAATATTCACAGAGGGCCACATACCTCGGGGGGCACTACCTACCCCAGACGACCTCATCACTTGTAGCGACCCGCTCGCGCTCCATACTGCCATCCCTCCACCTTTCGCAACCAACTGCAGGTACGACGACCGACAACGACGGTACAACAATAACGCAGAATGCCGACGAGGGGAATTCCTCGTCCCACGACCAGGACTCGTGCGCTTTAGCCCTCCCCTCCCAAAACTAAACAATAACATACACAGACACTGTTAAAATAAAGCCTGAACAGATAGAGCAATTTAATCAGTGCCCCCAAACAGTGGCCGGAGCAAACATTAATTCAAGAAACCATGCTCATAATTTGCAGTATGTTTTGAATACGAAGGGTTTTTTTTTTCATCTTAGAATGCCTTGGTGTCTTTAAAGAATGCCAATTTAGGGGCTCTTTAAATGGCAGATGTCACACCAAATAAACGATCAGGCCAATCAAATATAAATTAAAATATTACTTCGTTGTTTGACTTAAACGAACAAAACTAATTCGATGAAACTAAAAACATTCTCGTTCTAGCACCTTACAAATGCATTCATTGCATGTAGAAAGTCCTCAAATCCTCTGGAAATTGCAAAGCGTTTGCGAAGCGCATAACCCTGTTTAGCAGTGCAGACTCAGGCGGCCGCCGCTGTGCCGCTGGCTGTGCGTTCGCACGGGAACTCGACGGTACAGGGGAGCTTACTGGAACCCCACTCTGCCAAGCACCTTCAGGACGGCAGCGCGCACGTAGGTACACACATGTGCGCACACACACACACACACACACATCTTTGCGGCAGCTGAGGCAACTTTATGGGGGAGTTTCGTGTTCCAGAGTACAACAACCGCATCTTACTGCTCGGCATATACAGGCTATCCCG